GTGCCAGAAGGGCCAGCGCCCAATGCGCTCAGCCTGTTCTTGTCCACCACCTTGGGAGAAGGGGGTGGGGGTCCACCTCCCTTGGGTGCGGGCTTGCGGTGTTCCTGCTTCCGCTTGCCCGACTTTGGCGGGTTGCGGCCGAAGTTCTTCATGGTGAACCTGTCCGGCTTGCCGCCCTTCCCGACCCTCGTCCACCCCTCGGGCGACTCGTTGGGCCGAAGTTGCTGCGCCTGTTGGTGCTGCGAGTGTGCCTGCGATGCTGCGGCCGGAGCGGCAGCGGCGGCAGGCGGTGCCACGGGCGGTGCGGCGAAAGTGGCGGTAGGCTGAGGCTGCGCAGCGCCCTGCGCGGCCTGCTGCCTGGCCTCATCCTCCCGCCTCTTCTCAGACTTGGCCTGGATGATGTACTGATACCCAAGCGGCACCGGGTTGATGCTGACGGACCAGTTTCTTCTTTGCGGGTGATTTGTGTTTCGCAACCCACTCCACGCGCCCACTAAACGGCTAACGCACTTTCACCACACCTGTCACCTCCGCCTCCGCCACACACCCGGCTTGGCGCTTGCGCCCCTTTGGGCCTTGGCCGCTCTAACGCGGCCTAGCCCTACGCGCGGCGGCGCTAGCCTCCGCGCCTATAGCTGGAAGTGGTGTTAGAGTGTAAGTGTGTGGTGTGTTCGCGGGACCCGCTCCGCGCTCCCCGGGGCGCTTTTCCTTTTCGCTTTTGCGGCGGCTTTTCCTTTTGGCGCAGACTGCTGTGCGTGAACACTAGCACACGGGCCAGGTGGTGTGTGGTGCGGCGGGCTCCCCCCTCTCACACTCGCTCTTAGACTCTACCGTTCCTCCCAAACGCACGTCACAGCTCCTTCTTGTCCGCCTTGCCTCCCCCGGCGCCGGGCGGACTCGCCGCCAGCCGCTGCAGCTCCTCGAAGAAGCGCGTCGCCTCGGCCGCCTCGACAAAGCCAGAGCGGTCCGCGTCCATCGTGGCGAAAAAGTCGTCGTCGCCGCCCGCCCCCGCCGCCTTGTTCGCCGCGTTGGCCTCTTGGATCAACGAGGCCATCTCCTCGCGCGACAGCCTGCCGTCGCCATCCTTGTCGAGCGAGCGCATGATTGCACTCGGCTCCATCGCGCCGCCGCCGCCGCCTCCGCCGCCGCCGGTGCTTCTGCTCGCCGCGCCGCCGCCTCCCGCCGCGCCGCCGCCGCCCGCCATCATCCGCTCAAAATAGCCGCTCGCCTCGCCCCGGTCGACTCGGCCGTCGCCTACACGCGGTTCTCCACACACGTCTCCGCTCTCCGCCGTAAGCTCTCCACACAGGCTATGGCGGCTATGCCGTCCGCGTCGATGGAGGCGAAGAAGTCCGCCGGCACGGCCTCGCCCTGCGCCTTGGCTGCCGCGTTGGTCTTCTCAATGAGGCCCGCCATCTCCTCCCGAGAGAGCGAGCCGTCCGAGTCGCGGTCGAGGGACGCGAAGAGCATGTCCGCCATCCCGCCCGACGAGGACGGCGCCTTCTTCTGCGGCGGGTGCAGCGCCTCCCACCTTTCCAGCAGGCCCGCCTCCTCAGCGAGGCTCAGCAGGGCCTCCTTGCTCGCGCCGGCCGGGTAGGCCACCGAGAACTCGTCGAGCATCGCGCGAAGCTGCCCGCTGGTCTTGAGGCGCAGCCGCCGCTGCGCCTCGCTGCTCGCCTTGGCGGGCGCCGCCGTGGCAGGCGCCGCCTTGGCCTTGGCAGCCGGAGCATTGGCCTCGAGAGGCGTGCCGTCCCAGGCGAACCGCTCGACGCCGGCCGGCTTCTCGCTCTGTGCAAACTCGTAGACCGCCTTCCTCAGCGCCTCGAGCCGGCCCTCGCCCTGCATCACACCGTGATCAATGCCGACCCGGTCTGCGATGCCCACGAGCTGAGCCTCGGTCTGGCCCATGATCGCCTCGCGCAGCGGGTCGGCGGCGGCGCCCATCAGGAGCAGGAGGAGGAGAGCGAGCGGCGAGCTCATCGTTGATGTGCCTTCAAGGCTGAAGAAGCGCAGAGGCCGAGGGAGCACAACGCCACGCCGCTTGCGGCGGTCCTCTTCCCAGCTCCGCTGAGGGCCCGTGCGTTATTTATTTACTGGAGACCTTCACCACCCGTGTGTGTGTGTGTGTGTGTACTCACTCACTCACCTTCACCACCCGTACACAGGAGAGATGGGAGTGCCCCACCACCAGGGGGCGTTTCTTTGCAGGAAGAAAACATTTCTCAAAGGGTCGTGTATTAGGAAAGAAAGAAAAGGGAGGGATGGGAGGAGGGGGGTGTATTAGGAAAAACGTAGATTAAAATTTTGACCGCGCAAGATATGAAGGGTGGCTAAGGGCTCTGCCCGCAAGGCGCCCGCGTCGCAGACGCGGTACCATTGACAAATCTGCAATATACCCCCACACGAGCAAATAGCAAAATCCGAATACCGTGCACGAACTGCGTGATCTGAGCCGTGCAAGCCTTCAGCTGGTGCCACATCCGTAAAATTGAAGCCAAGAACGTCCGTCAAATCCGTGCTTTCGTGCTTTGGGAGCAACTGAGGGAAGGGAAACCCGCGGTACCTCACACGCACACAGCACACACCACGAAAGGAAAAAAAATACTCACGACCATTGGATGCTCCACACGGTCGACCTCGCCATCGCAGAGGCGCACGGCGCCCGCTGCCTCGACGGCTCGCCGCCGTGGTTCTATTACGACCGGCCGCGCTCGCCGGGCGGCTCAGGCTCGAATAACGCGTCATGGCTGGTGATGCTGGACGGCGGCGCGTGGTGCTACTCGCTGGACGAGTGCGCTGCCCGCGCCACCAACGGGCTCGGCTCTTCGCTCCAGGCAAAGCAGCGCAGCTGGGTCTACTCCGGGCTGCTGGATCCATCGCCGGCCCACAACCCCGCCTTTGCCTCCTTCCACCGGGTGCTCCTTGGGTACTGCGACGGCGGCTCCTTCGCCGGCAACCGCGAGGCGGCGCTGCACGACAGCAGCGGTCGCCCCGTGTGGTTCAGAGGTCGGCGCAACCTCGACGCGCAGCTCGAGGCGCTGCGCGGCCTCAGCCTCGCGCCGACGCCGTCTGCAGTACCTCTGCAGACCTTCTCGGAGCCTTCCCGTAGGCGCTGCGCGGCCTCGGCCTCGCGGATGGGGCGGAGCTGCTCCTGGCCGGCGGATCGGCGGGCGGCCTCGGCGCGCTCTTCTCGGCGGAGCGGGTTCGCGCGCGGTTGCCTCAACTCTCCCGCTTCAAGCTGCTCCTGCTGTCGGCCTTCTTCCTCCACCGGCAGCCCGAGCCGCTGCCGCGCGCCGCCGCATGCCGCCGCACCTTCGACCCGGCCGCCTCCTCCGCGGCGTGCACGCCGTGGCCTGACAAGATGAGGGCCCTGTACGAGCTCATGCACGCCTCGGGCGCACCCGGCTGCGAGCGAGCGCTGCCGGCCACTGAGCGGTGGCGCTGCATCTTTGCGAACGAGAGCGGCGCGCGGCTCGACGGCGGCGTGCCGCTCTTTCTCGTCAACTCGGCGCACGACTCGTGGTGCCGCTTGCTAGACGGACACTTCCTCGACACCTCCTCGACACCTCCTCGACTCTTGCTGTCCCACCGCCCGTAGGATCACTCCCTCGCACCACTCCGTCGCCCCGCCCTCGCCTCGCAGGCAGACGGCGAACGTCTGGCGGACGTACCCGCGCTGCCGCTGGTCTCGCTGCGCCGCCGCCGACGTCGCGCGAGACGTGCGCACCTCCAACCGGATGATTCGCTCCTTCCTCGCCGACCTGCACGCAGCGGGACTCCTGCGCAGGCCGGGCGGCGGCGCCTTCATCTCGTCGTGCAACGAGCACGTCGCCTCGCTCAGCGCCGCAGACTACGGGTCCACGCTCGTGGGTGGCACCGCGATGGCGAGCGCCATCGCGCGCTGGTGGCACGCGCCGGCCGACGCGCCGCCCGAGCAGCACACGTACCTGCCGTGCGAGCTCGACCCCGCTTCGCGCGCGCCGCACTACGAGTGCAACCCCACTTGCAGCACGAAGCGCAGGCGCCGCCTAAGACAGGAGTGTCCCGGCTGGCCGTGCTGACGCGCCGAGGTTTCAGTGTTATTGTGTGCCGGCGCGCAACCGGCGACCGCGGGCCGGGGGCCCCTGTGGGGTGGCTGATAAAATTCAAAAAAATGTCGCGCATATACAGACAGACTTTCCTTTTTTCAGATTCTTACAGACAGGATACACGAGACCCCGGCGCCGCGGGAGCCTCTCATCAAGACCATGCTCAAGACACACACGCGTCACGCGCCATCCAGAGACCAGACGGCCAACGCCAGAGGCGAGAGGGCTACCCCCGCCCCACATGCCACATGCCGCTTTTCACCACGGCTCCTCCTCCGCCTCGCACGTCGCGCGAGTCGGGTCCCACACGTTTTGCCTACACCACCATCGCGCGCTCGCCTCCTCCTCGTCAAGCGCAACGCCCGCGGGCAGCCTCCGCCACTTGCCGCACGCGTCGCAAGCCACCCACGTCGTCTCGTTCCGCGCGGACGCCCTCTCGCGGCCGCGCTTCTTGCCGCGCGCTCGCCGCCCGCGCGCGCCGCCCGCCGCAACCCCGCCCGTCAGCAGCTCGCTCCACTCGCTTCCGAGCCCCTCGAGCGCCGCCGCCTCGGCATGGGGAGGGATCCACCCCTCGTACCAGTCCGCCGCCTTGGCGGCGAGCGGCGACGCGACCAGCGCGGCCAGCTTGGGCAGAGTCACCTCCGGGCACGGCACTACCGCGTGTGGCGTGTGGCGGCGGGGTGCGGACCGCTGTGCCTGCGGCGGCGCCTCGCAGCAGCCGACGATGTGGTGCATCGGCGGGGCGTGCTGCCTTGCACCGCCGAGCTCGCCGCCCGCCTCGTGGGCCTGCGTCGCCGACTCGGGCACAATGTTGAAGGAGAAGCTCGGCAGCGACCGCTCGGCCGCTCCTACGGGGGCAGACGCCGTGGATTAGTCGTGGACGTGTCCCAGGACCGCTCGGTTGCGACTCGGCTGGCGGCGAGGAGCGCCGAGGAGCGCATGCTCCGTCACCCCGACGGCGAAGGAGGTGCCGACGAAGACAAGCGCCTGTCCACCGCTGCCGCTGTGAGGAGGAAGCGCTGCTATCGGGCGCAAGCGGAGGGAGGCGCTCGCGAGGGCGGGCAGGCGCCTTTGCGCACTCGAGCCAGCGGCGCGCCTTGCGGTACTGGTAAAAGGAGTGCGACTCGTACTCCTCGTCGAAGAGCAGCGCCTGCGGCAGCGCCGGCGCGCCGCAGGCAGGGCAGGTTGGCAGCGCACCCAGCACCGTTCGCGCCGCCTTGGGGTCGCATGGGGCCGCCTGCCGCTCCACCGCACACGTCGCTCGGACGCCGCCGCCCGCCGGCCGGAGCCGCAGGTGAACCACCACGCGTGCCCGAAGCGCGGGGTCGGGTGTGACATCGGGACCCTTCGCACCCGCCTCCCACTCGGCTGTGGCGGTCGCGAGGTCTAACTGCGCCGGGCCGATGCTCTCGGCGGCCGCGTATCGGCAGCCGGGCGAGACGCACTTGAGCAGCCCGGCGCGGCCGTGGACCTCGACCAGCCGCTCCGAGGGCAGGCCGGCCCTCTGATGCAGCCCATCGATGTTCTGCGTGATGACGTGCACGTTGGTCTGGCGGCACGCGGCAACCTCCGCAACCGCGAAGTGTCCGGCGGACGGCTCGTAGGTCCGCTCGCTCGTTGAACCAGGCTCAGCGACCACGTGTGCTGGGATCCAAAAATTGTCATACCAGCCGCGAGGGTCGGCGAGAAAGGCGGCGCGTGTGCCCCACTCCAGGACCCACTTGGCCCACACGCCCTCCGCGCCTCGGAACGTCGGAATGCCGCTCGGCGCAGACAGACCCGAGCCAGTGACAAACACGACTGGGTCGCCGCGCCGGATGATCCTCGCGAGCTGCAGCAGCGAGGACGGCGCAGAGCCGGTGGATGAGTCGCCGGACGGCGCAGAGCTGGTTGATGGGACAGGCGCAGAGCTGGTTGATGGGACAGGCGGCATGTCGGTTGGGGGAGGGGCGCTGTCTGCTGTTGCCGCAGCGGCTGGCTAGAACCGGCTGGATACACGGGGGACAGCCACCCGTCGGCACCGCGTCAAACAGGTCAGCTGTAGAGGGGGTGTTGTGCAAAAGAGAATCTTGGCCAAAAGAGAATCTGTCCAAAAGAGAATTTTCACGGAGTTGGGGCCGCTCGGCGCCGCCCGCCTCCTCCACAACTAGAGGTCGAACCGACCGCATCGCCTCGGCAAGGTTCATCGGACGGTGTGATTCCCCACGGTGTCGTCAAGCGAGAGCGCGGTAGCCGCAAGTGGTGATGGCGTCGACATCGGTGGCCTGCCCACACCGCCCTGGTACGGCCGCACTTGTGCCGCCCTCATGCAGGAGCGCCGCCACCGACGCCTCGACGACGCGGCAAGCTTCTTCTCTGTTGCTGCAAGTGTTGCCGCAAGCTCTTCTATCAGCGTGCGCCGACTCAAGGGCCGCTAGCTTCTGCTCGAGAATAGCGACCCTCTCCTCGGCATTGGTAGTTGAGCTTGAGGGGCAGCAGCTAGGAGGCGCCGGCGAGAGGGGCGAGAGCGGCGGCGACGGGGGCGAGACGAAGTTGCGGTGGCGATGATGTCGCCGCCGATGACGACGGTGCCGTTTTTGTATACTGTGCGCGTCCCCGCGGTTGTCGTTGGAGACACCAATGCCGATATGCGGAAAAGATGGCGTCCGTGTCAACCCACAAGAGCCCTCAGAGGGTGAGCTGGCGAGAGCATTGTAAGAAACGCCCCCCCGACCACCGTCTCGCCTGGCTCTCCGCCTTCGTCATGAAGCCCAGCGCCGAAGCGGCAACCAAGGCCTGATGCGACGGCATCGGTCCCCGTCGCGACAGAGTAGCGGCCAGAAGCAGACGTGCCCCACCGCCACTCGCAAAGGTGACGCCATGCCGGATGCTGAGGTCTCAAAGCCTAGCGCGGTGGCAAAGTGTGGCCATCCATCGAGCATCGTGTGTCTCGGCAGATCGGCGGGGCGCGGGGGCCATGCTCGTCGGCGCGCAGGGGGGTGGTCAGATTGCCTCTTTGACACGCGCTTTACCGCAGCTGTGAATAAATAGTATCTGCAAGAGACACCAGCACCCCCTCGTTCAATGGGACAGGCGGCGGATCGTGCGCGCTGGACACGCGGGCTGGGCACAAAAGCACAAACACCCCGGGCCCGACCGAAAATCGCACGACGGCTGGGTTCACGCAACCTCCGAGTTAGCTATAAAAAAAGCGCATAGGCGGTTGAACTCCGCAAAGTCTCTTTTTCACCCGTTTCGCACTGGCCCCGGCCCGGGGGGGCCGTAGGCTGTCCGCGACGTGTGACAGTGACTCCAACGTCGTCGGGTAGCCTGACGCACCGCCCGGTGTCACCACTCCTCCCGTTTCAGCTCTCTAGAGCTTCGCCACGACAGCACGCCGACGGCAAGCTCTGAGGTCCGTCTGGTGGGCATGCTGTGACCATGACTCACTTCTAAGCCCTCTCATCCCGACCGTGTGTGAAGGATGCGCGGCCGAGCCGCTGGCTGGCACTGCCTGAACGTCCGAGATGGCCGCAGCACAGGCCAGACGTCGCGCCGCTGGCCAAACCAAGCCGGTTTGCGGTCGAGCCGGTCGAGCTGATTGGGCCGGCGAAGAGTTTCGGATCGGAGCACACCAACCTGGCCGACGCGGAGCGGCCAAAGTCAAAATCGGAGGTGCGAGCGAGTCGTCGTCCGTACGAAAAATCGAGAAAAAAAGCGGAAATTTGATCTCTGCACGGTTCCCATCCGCAGGAGGAGAATCGGAGAACGGAGAGACTGGGACGACTGGACACAAGAAGACAGTGAGCCGCCACAGGCGTCGTTGGCGCACGTACTGAGTGGCAGCTGCGCTGGAAATAAGGAAGAGGCGCGTTACTTCATGCGGAAGCTGAAAACACACGGCGAGGGCGACAGCAAGAGTCGAACGGGAGGCGCCTGAATCAAAAGACACGGCGACATCCATGAGACGCGCGAGAGCAACCTCCTTAAAGGCAATGGGGTCTAGATTTGGAGCGCTCGTCGAAGAGGAGTACGACAAAATAGCGCCCGTGATTGCCTGCACGCTGCCAGCACTGACAGACTCCATACCCGAAAGAAAGAGAGGGGAGCTTGCAGGAGAGGTGACGAGTGAACTACAGGTAGTGGGGAAGGCAGCCTCGATTGCCATACAGACATGGGTGCGAAACAACGACAAGACCAAGGCACGGGCAGAGGAGCGAGAGAGAAGAACATAGGATGGATAGGGCGCCTGTTCACGGCATGGAGGGTGGGCCACGCTGAACGTAGAGCCGAACGAGAGGAAGCCGGGGAAGACGACTCCGAGGAGGACGAAACACCAGTGGTAATCCCGCCATCAGCTGTCACGATATACCCGAAGGGAACCCCAGTGCCAACACCGACCGTTGAGGTACAAGTGTTCGAAGAGAGAGTGGACCTGAGCAACGACATGACTTGGAGGCAAATGATCGGAGTGGGAGTCAGAAATGTGGTCCTTGCGCGAGGGGAGCTCGATAAACTCGAGGGGCCAACTTATGCCGCGAGGAGGGCGGAGTTACGCAGAGCGGCGAGAGAAGCAGCGAGAGCAAGGCAGACGGCAGCGGCGTCTCAGAACGAGGCCGAGGAGAGCGATGAGTCAGAGGATGAAACAGCAGGGGAGAGAACGAGGACGAGAGTGAGAAGAACGAGAGGTGGCATGAAGGTCGCTGCGAGAATCGGCGAGAGACTGCGAAGAGAGATAGGAAGTGGTAGACGCCCGTGGGTGGGCGACGGCTAGCACCACACTCCTCTCCTTAAAATCCCTGTGTGGTGGCGGCGTGCCGTCCTCCCATCCCTCCCTTGGCTGGTCTGTTTTCTTTCTTTCTTTCTTTTCGACAACAGAAATGAACCCTGGATTCATACGACACAACGAAAAGAATTTAAAAACGTTAGTGGTGCACTCGAGAAACCCTTCGGGTCGCTCCTCATCGCAAACCCTGTCAGCAGAGTCCTCCTACGGGAATGTACGTAAGAGCTACTACAGTGGGTTGCGGGCATTAAGAAACCTTCCAAGTCTGCGGTGTTCTGAGACAGTGGAGTGGATGGAGGCGTGTGTGCGTCTTCCTACTTCCCGTCATCCAGAGAGCCGACTCGGCGGCAGACTCTGGCATCGCCCTCGCGGACCGCAGCTTACCCCTCTTACCTAAAAATCCTTTGGGCCGGAGCTCTGGCTTGAGTGCCGGCCGGAGCTAAGAAACCACGGCATGGGGTGGGTGAGGCCACAGTGAGGGGTGAGGAAAGGCTTAGAAACGGCGGCGTGCCGCGCAATCCTGTTTTCTTTGCCCGCAACCCAGTACCTCATCAGGCTTCCCTGTGCTGAGCGTCACAGCTCGGTGATCGCGCCGGCCGGACACCACTGTAACGTCCGTTCCGGGCATTTGAACACGACCTTCGGGGGCAAAGACATGGGCTCTATGGCTCAGACTGGACTCCTCTTGGTCCCTTCTGATACCCTAGGCCACACCTGGGCCTTACCTGGGGCGCTAGGGGGCGGGAAGGGTTTGCCCCCCCCAACTGGCCCGAGGCACCTTTATTAATGCCACTTGCCCGTGTGCAACCCACTGTACACTGAAAAACAAAAGTTCGCGCGCCGTGCTGGGCCTGGAGCATCGACCATCGTGAAAACTCAGTTCTTTCCCCCTAGTTTGGACACAACACACCACCTCGATCGCGCCCACATCTGTTCTTACGGCGGGCACTGTTGCGGGTGGCCGATCTGCGTTTGAGATCAGCGCGAACTGCAGGATGATGACGACCTGGAGGGACGAGAGGGCCGGGTGGGTGGTTGGGGCGGTGGCGGCACGCGCGCGGAGGGGCGCGCCTTGCGGTTCTGTATGCTGTTCATGATGTGGTTGTCGATGCGAACGATGCTCAGCGCGCGGATCTGTTGGCAGCGAGACAGGGGGTGGGGATGGTGATCATGTGCTGACGGGACGATTCCGGCGCGTTCGGGGCTCACCCCATCTCGCTGAATAATCGGGTTCAGCGACGTGGAGAGCATCGCCTGCGCCAGGGGCGAGTTGCGGCATGGTCAATTAGCGGCGGCGCGTGCAGCGCTGGCGCGGTGCAACGCACATGCATGTAGTGGCGGCCGTCCGAGATTTTGAGGCGGTAGCGCTCCTCCGCGCCCTGCCGCGACATCGGATTCTTGATCGGCCTGAGGTCGATGATCTGCACGCGGTAGGGGTTGGCCCCGGCCTGGCCGGCGGTTTGCCCGCTGTGCATGAGCTCGATGCACCCCTCGTCGAGCATGGCGCCTCCGCCTTGAATGGCGAGGGGCACGTGGGCCGCAGAATGGCTGGAGCCGCCGCCGCCACTGCCGGCGCCGCCCCCAAGCGTTGGCGCAGCGGCGAGGACCTGAGCCGCAGAATGGCTGCCGGCGGCACTGCTAGAGCCGCCGCCGCCGCCGCCGCCGACACTGCCTGACACTGGCTCCGCCGCTGCCGGCGACAGATTGTCCGGCCGCACCCGCACGTTCTCGCCGCCCTCGAGCGCCACCCCGTACCGCCCGCCCTCGAAGAACCGCGCCACGCCCCGCTGCCCGTTCAGCTCGGGGCGGGCAGAGAGGCCGCCAAGCACGACTCGCTGGCCGAGGAGCGGCGCGTCCACCCACCCTGCCGCTGCCGCGCCCGAGGAAGCGCCGCCCGGCCCTGCCCGGCCGGCGGCACTGCTAGAGCCGCCGCCGCCGCCGCCGCCGCCGCCGCCGCCTCCTCCTCCTGATGGAAGGGCCGAGCTCGACGCAGCGGTGCGCTGCTGCTTGGATGCGGGGCCGGCGCTCGCGCTCCCCTCGGTCGAGTTGTTCTGCACGGCCGCCACCACCTCGGCCCCCATCTCAATCTCGACCTCGATCACGTACGCCGGGTACATCTGGCGCGACTCGTACGCCACGTGCACGATGGATGCGTCGCACCCGCTCTCGCCTCCGCCGGAGAGGAAGGGGCGGTGCGGCCCGCCGCGCACGCTGTTGTAGAGGAGTCGGGGCGGGCCCTCGACGCGCACGCCGGGCATGCGCATCGCTCTCGTCTCCGCGCTGATGCGCTGCCCCATCTCCTCCTGCGTGCCGAGGGCGGCCTTCACGATGAGCAGCTGCACGCGGCGGCCGCCCGAACCGGAGATGCGGTGCGCGTACCGGCCGCCGATCGGGTACGACGGGTCCTCCGCCAGGTAGATGCCTGAACCATAGAAGCCGCCATTGGAGAAGCGAGGGTCGAGCCCGTTCTGATGTGCGAGCACATCCTCCACCGCCCGCTCCGCGGTGCCGTGGAAGAGGAGCATCTCGGTGACGTCGCCGCCGGCGCAAGTGTGGACGAGCTCTTCGTCGCGATAGTGGGTGTACGCGCGCCACAAAATCTTGTTCTGGACGCGCTGCACGCGGCTCAGCTTTGCGCTCGGGCAGCTCTTCGCGAGCAGCGTCTTGATGAGGAGCGCCTCGTTGCTCTGCATCGAGAGCGGGACGAGCTGCTTTGACTCGGTCGGACCGCTGTCGTTTCGAGCCGGCGGTTTTCTTCTTTCCTTCGGGAAGAACTGCATTAGAAGTGTATTCATTAGAGAGGGAGTTTTGTTTACGTACTGCGAACCGGCAAACTCTCATTCATTGGGAGCCGTGCGCCTCAAGCCTCAACCCCTCAACTAAGGTCTACGCCCTTCCCCAACCACCCCGACCTTTCTGTGAATTCTTAAAATACGAGCCTCTCTCACAGCACACTGGCACGACAAGGGCGCGGACTGGCGGTTTGAGGGATCCGGTTTGAGGGACCCGGTAGCGCCACAAAGTGCCTCGGGGGAAGGGGGGCGGGGGCAACAGCTTCTCTCCCTGCTCCTCCCGCTCGTGGAGTCGTTCGCACGCGCTCGGCCGCCGAACGTTCTCATCCTCCTCGCGGACGACCTCGGCGTCGGCGACCTCGAGGCGTACTCAGCCTCCGCCTTGGTGCCGACGCCGGCCATCTCGGCGCTGTCTGCAGCGGGCGTCCGCTTCACAGACGCGCACGCGCACCCACTCTGCTCGCCGAGCCGCTACTCCCTCCTCTCTGGCAGCTACGTCTTTCGGGGCCGCCGGCCCTCGTCCTCGTGGGGCCTATCGGGAGGCTCGCAGCTCCTGCCTGGCCAGCGGACCATTGCGGAGTCGTTCCGCGCGGCAGGTTACGCGACCCTGCTGCTCGGCAAGGCGGGCATCGGAGGGGAGGTCGCCGCGCTACCCGATGAGCTGCGCCGCTCGACCGAGGACGACAGGGTCGACTGGCTGCTAAGACGAGGGCGGAGGCTTGCCGACGGCCCGGCGCAGTGGGGCTTTGACGAGTCGCTCTCGATGGTCTCGGGGATCCAATCGCCGCCGTACGCGTGGTTCAATGGCAGCGTGGCGTCGCTTCCTCGCGGGAGCCGCTGCTGGGGCACGGCGACCCACGCGACGCGCACCGGCGACTGGGTGTCGGGCAAGTTTGCGGGCACCGGGCTGCGCCACCGCCGGTACACGCCGTGCGGTGCAGGGGACGGGCACGACGGCGCGGCGGACTGGGAGGGGCACATGGCCGACGCCCACGTCGCGCAAGCTGCGCTCGGCTTTTTCGACCGGCGCCGCCGCGCACGCGGGCCGCAGCCGCCCTTCTTTGCCCTGGTCGCCACCGCGGCGGTGCACGCGCCCTTCACGCCGCCCGACCGGTTCCGGGACGCAGACATCCGCACATGGGTCGCCACCAGCGAGGTGGCGGCGCCGCGCCGGCTGCACGTCCCCCACTCGTCCATGGTGGCGGAGTTGGACGCGGTGGTCGGGGCGCTGATGGCGGCGCTCCGCTCCGCAGGCGAGCTCAACGAGACGATTGTGGTCTTTGCGAGCGACAACGGCGGACTCAGCTGCGCGACCAAGCAGCACGGATCGTGGAGGCCCTCGCCCGAGACACCCGCGCCGCCGTTTGAGGACGTCTCGCCCGAGCGGTCCGGGCTGCAGTCGCCGCTCTGCGGCGCCAATTCTAGCGCCCACCTGCGGGGGCACAAGGGAGACCTCTACGAGGGAGGCCACCGGGTGCCGCTGCTGGTAGCGTGGCCGGCGGGCGGTGTGCCCGCCGGGGGGGAGTGCGGCGACCTGGTCGGGCTCACCGACCTCTACGCCACCCTGCTCGACCTGGCCGGCCTTGCGCCGCCCGCTCCCGGCCAGGCAGCGGACAGCGTCAGCTTCAAGCGCCGCCTGCTCCGACCCCGCGACGGCCACCCGGCCCGGTCCGACCTGCTCGTGCCGTCGCCGCCGAGCTGGGCGCTGCGGTGGTCGCGCTGGAAGCTGATCAGCCTCGCGCACGGCAGCCAACGCGCCACCGAGCTCTTCGACCTCGAGGCGGACCCGGGCGAGACGACCAACCTGCTGCCGCCCCACAACGTGAGCGGGCAGCCGCCACGCGCGTCCGGCGAGGCCGCCTCGCGCCACGAGGCGACGGCCGCACGCATGGCCCAGCGCGCGGACCAGATTCTGACCAGCGGCGAGCTCGGAGGGCGAAAGCGGATGCAAGCATTGCGAACGATGTGAGACGGGAGACGCGAGGCCTCGGCGCGCCCCGGCACATATTTTGGGGGGGGGTGTGTTTTCTTTCGCTTTCACTTTTCGGATGCGCCCGGCGGAGCGCCTGTCAGCGGCTGTACGCGGCCCGGCCTGTGTAGAGCCCCAGCCGACTCTGCGCGGATCGCCGCCGCGCGCCGCGTCGCCGGCGATCACCTCTCGCTCCGCGGCGGGCGGCGCCGCGCCGCACACCGGCGGCTGCTCTCTTGCACTCTTGGCTCCTGGGTTATCCTCCCACATTGTCATGTCGAAGACGACACCGACCAACAACCCCCCCCCCCCGACCTTTGGGGGGGAGGGGGGGGCCGAGCGCCAGCGGCGCCCCAAAGCCGCAATGGCCGAGGGCGGCGGCGGCGCCGGCGCGCGCACAGGTGGAGAGATTGGGCCAGATGACTTGTGACCGAGAGGGGCGGCGGGCCCAGCCGGCCGCCGCGGGCGACGTACGGCGTACGGGGTCGAGAGAGAG